TAGTGTAATATCACAACATATAAAAACACTATAGAATAACCGTTGAAATGGCTTTACTCAATCAAAAGACATATTAACACAAGTGAACAAACACTGGACGAATAAATATATACTGATGGACTTTATAAACGCAACACTAGATAATTCTATTTTATTCCCATTTTCAAAAAGGTAATGTTTGTAAACTAAATGTAAATAAATAAACTTTAATTATGTCGTAATTGCCTGGAAAAAGTTTGGAGTTTAAAAACTGAACTGATAACGTCATTTTTTAAGTTCAAATCATGTGGTATGCATTGGGTTTCCCCTTATCAATGGGTGTGTCACCGTCGAATGCAATGACTGCCTGCAACCAGCGCCAAAAAGATTGTCAGAAACGTCAACTAATTCTTTTGGGTATGTTTTCCGTTTTTTTTTTGTACATTATGAGTTTGCCTCTGTCCCATGCATTACAGTGTGTTTTAGCCGTTAAGTTGTTGAAATTTTATTGCTTGAAATGTTTTAGTGAAGTCGATTCTTTTGCCTTTTAGTATACGGGAATCATTTTTGACATTAAACTGTCTGCCATTGCATTCTTGACTTGATGAGCAGTTGATGTTGCGGTCGTTAAAATGACGTGGCACATTTTTTTTTTGTATTGACGTTGCGTTTTCACAAGATATTGATCTGTTCATAAAAGGTCTTCAAAAATTCTATGTCTGTCTGTACCGTTGTTGTAAGGACGAGTTTCTGATGTAAAATCGTCTGAAAACAGCACATTCACACATTCCTGCATGCACTATTCGTATAGCCTGATTCAGATTGTCATTGCTTAGTCTTGACAATATGAAGGTGCAACATTTGTTTGATGATTTAAAATTGGGTATGAATTAAAGGAATTGTTTCATGAACAAAAATCCTTAAAAAAATCATTTATGGGTTTCAAATTTTTTAAGAAATCCGTGCGACTTGAATAATACAGTATGTTCAATAACCTCAGGTAGTCAGGTATTGATTTTTCTAACCAGGCACACCTTTTTCAGTAAAAGGTTTAACGGTTTTGTCTCAAAAAAGACTGTATTCATGAACTACAAAAAAAGATCAAGGACAGATGAACCTTGCCAGACATGCATGTTTATCTGAGAACCCTTATGCACACCACAAAGTTGTAAGAATATGCTTAAAGTATATTGGAAACGCACCTCATTATCAAAATTAACAATGCAAAACACTCCGTACAGATGGAGTCACTGTAACACGTAGCATGTCAGACAGATATACACCTTACAGTCATTCAAAGTATCAAATATAATTACCTTTTGATTATTGTATCAAAACCGTTTTCACAAAAAATTAACAAATGAACTTTAAAAACAAGAATAAAACCTTTCAAACATACATGCATATCATAAAATCATTCCATAAAATACATGTAGTTGTCATATCCCTTAACGTATCGGAGATAAAGACAAAATGATTTATAAATTAACAATTCTTCTTTACATATTTGTTTGTTTTTGTAGTGATTAAGATTATAACACAATGTTGACTGCTGTACCCCTATTTTTGATGTGTTTTCCTATTAAAGTCTGTTTGTTTTGTTCACACATCGTTTTCAATATACTGTGAATTCATTATTATTCGTTGGATACCAATTTTCGTGGATTTCGTGGGTTTAGGTGAAACACGAAATTAAAAGTTCAACGAATGACAAATTTTGTATAGGCTCTTATGTAGTCTTCGTCAAAACCACGAACATTAATGTCAACGAACATGATACTGTAATTTCAGAAATTATTGCGAGGTTTTTATTTTTGCGACAAATGCGACAAAGTTGTTAACGCAATAATTTAAACTCGCATTTTAAAATATTTTATATGAAACAGGATTTTTCTCAAAATCGTAAAAATTAAAATCGCATTAAAGTCTAAAATGACAAAATCGCAATAATAAATGCCCGCAATAATTTTTGAATTTACAGTAGTTTTCTCAATCCACGAAAATTGGTGCCCACGAAAATAAATGAATCTACAGTAATGGAATTTGATGCAACTGTAATACAAGTGAGAGGTTTAGCTAGCTATAAAACCAGGTTTAATCCACCATTTTCTACATAAGATAATGTCTGTACCAAGTCAGGAATAGGACAGTTGTTATCCATTCGTTTATTGTGTTTCAGCTTTCGATTTTGCCATTTGATTAGAGACTTTCCTTGTTAAATTTTCCTCTGATTTCAAATTTTTGTGATTTTACTTTTAGCCAGACATGCATGTATTCCTGAGAACCCTTATACACACCACAACATTGTAAGAATATGCTAAAGGTATATAGGAAACGCACCTCACCATCAAAATTAACAATGCAAAACACTCCATGAAGATGGGGTCACTGTAAAACGTAACCAGTCAGACAGATATACACCTTACACATGTTACAGTCATTCAAAGTATCAAATTCATTTCACCTTTTGGTTATTGTATCAAAACCGTGTTCACAAAAAATCTAACAAACGAACCATAAAAACAAGAATAAAACCTTTCAAACATACATGTACAATGTATATCATAAAATCAATCCATAACAAACATGTAGTTGATATATCCCTTAACGTAATTGAAATACAGACAAATGATATATAAATTAACCATCAGTCAAGATACAACACAATATTTAAGATTAAACGAAGTTGACAAAACCACAAATATACACCATTCAATCATTTCATTCGTTACCTTTTGGTTATTGTATCAAAACCGTTTTCACGAAAAAGTTAACAAACGAACCATAAAAACAAGAACAAAACCTTTCAAACATACATGTACAGTGCAACCTGTGTAATCCGACACACAACTCATTTTACATCATAATCATACAGATGAAGGATATCTGTTTTCCGAAATATTTAACATTTGTTCATATTATTATTATTTTGTGGTGATGTTGTACCCTTTTAATCTTGTCATATATTATGTTTTGAAGTGTAGTGTATCGATTTTGTTTGTTTTGTTCACATATCGTTGTCCATATGATGGAATGTGATGCGACTGTCATATAAGTAAAAGGTTAAGCGCTTTAAACCAAGGTTCAATTCACCATTATCGACATAAGAACATGCCAAATTCCTACAAACATAAGAAAATGCCTGTACCAAGTTAGAAACATCCATTCCTTTGATGTGTTTGAGCTTTTAATTTTGCCATTTGATTATGTACTTTCCGTTTTGAATTTTCCTCGAAGTCAAGTTTTTGTGATTTTACTTCTGACTGTTTTAACACGTGAAACCGATCCTCAAGTAACCAGCAGAAAGGAATTGAGGGCCTAGACCTTTTGCTGAAAATTAAAAAGAATGGTAATATGCCTCTAGATTCAGACAAAAAAAGATTTGATATAATGGCTCTGTGTTTCAACACAGGGGACTGAGTCTCCTATGAACAAAAGAAAAAGAAATTAAGAGCCCACATCCCTTGTTTAAAACTTGGGAACAGGCCTTAACATGTTAAGGAACAAACGAAAAGTAATTGAATTATTTAACCTTAGTCAAAATTAAATTACAAATTTGAAATATTATACCAGCTTTAATCAGTGCTGTTTATTGGGAATGTATTTCCAAGCAATCGTTGTTGTAACGCCTTAATTGTCGTCATCTCTGAAATTTTAGAGTTGTATCAGTTCATATCGCACATTACTGTTTTTATTTAAAGCATATCTTTGCAGTCTCTGTTGTAAAAAACTATATAACCTTCGTCATGCTTTAAATTTTAGAATTGTACAAGCGTCTAAACTATGATGATCGGTTTTAGCTGTTTTATTGTAAAAATTTCAAGATTGATATGATTCATTTTACTTCATAATCATACTGATGAAGGATATCTGTTTTCCGAAATATTTTACATTTGTTCATAATATCATTATTTTGTGGTGATGTTGTGCCCTTTTAATCTTGTCACATATTATATTTTGTAGTGTAATGTATCATTATTAAATAATCCATCGCCCCGTAAGATTTATCATTGGCTATTATTCAGTCATTTAATATCAATATATACATGTATATTCATATATACTTGTAGTCTGTTTAAAAAATGAAGCATATGCAGTTAAAGTCATAATTAGAAACACCTTGACCTCATTATCTATTTTCTGTATCATTAACCTCAAATTGAAAAGATCAAGTTATGCTTCAGTTAAGGTTTACGAGTTATAATCATTTACTGCTCGTATCAAAAACATAAGAGAAAAGAACTCTCATATGGTATCTACTGATTACTTTGGTTACATTTTTTTTTCGAAATCCTGAGGATGTAAGAGCAATTTGAAAAAATAAATCAGTTATGTTTAAGAAGATCAATCACACAAAAACGGTATTCTGAGAGGTTACAATAAAAATAAAAGCATTCGGTTAAGATTACACAGATTCAAAAGCCAAAAAACATCCTGTTCTATATCATGGACAAATAGAAAGACCTTCTAATATTATTAAAAACGTAACTAGACTCAAATGAGAAAAAAACATTCGAGAGGATAGAAACCAAGAGACACCAATAAAATATCCATTTCAAAACTGCTCAAGTACAAGCAATCTTTATTGAGATGTATTACATTGCATATAAACTTAACTTTGACCTATAACGGTTAACTTTTACAAATTTTGTATTGGATTGAGAGTTGTCTCATTGACACTCATACCACATCTTCTTATTTATACTATCTGAAAAACAGTACAAAAATGTTCTTTGATCGAAATGCATATAAACTATACATCAGACTGTATATCTGTAAAGATTTATATACACAGCTAGTATGTATCTTAAGTTATTTTACATCTACACAGATGCACATATGAAGATAAAATGTAAATTAAAAACAATGTATAATATATACATTTTAATATGTTTATATTCAGTTTATATGCATCGGATCTGATGTATATTTCGTTGAAAGCTTTACAGACGTAACGTTAGTTTGAGGGAGACTTATAGAATATCAGTTATTAATTACAGAAACAGACTGAAATAGATGAGTCAGTTTAAAGATTTTAATGAACCAAACAATCGTCTTTTTGTGAAGCGCTTCGGTGGCAGGGTACATTATATCTAAGGACAAATCTTCTGAAAATACACAACATATTAATTGTTAGTCCATATATTCTACAAACAATTGATAAAATTAAATAAAACAAAAAAAATTCTTCACCGAATATTCCACAAAAGGTTTTTTTACAATTTTAAAATGTCGCGGTATAAGTCTCTGCACCGAATTTATGCACCAGACGCTGAAATACGACTTTCATACAAGTGAAACGTTTAGCTAGCAATAAAACTAGGTTTAATCAACCATTTTCTACATGCTTGTTCTAAATCAGGAATATAACATTTGTCTTCATTCGTTTGATATGTTTTATCTTTTGATTTAGACTTTTAATTAAGGACTTTCCATTTGTCAAAATGTTTAAATTTGATAAATAGAAGATGTTATCATTTCGGTTTGTCCTTAGTTACAGTCAAGTATCTACATAGTTTAAAAGAGTATTGTCATCCAATGACATTTTAAAGAGCCACCACATATTTTGATAATCAGGAAAGAATTACAATTATTTGAATAAAAAAAATGTTCGAAAAAAACACATAATTTCTACATAAAATGAACGAAAAGACTATATCAATGAGACATATTCAAATACATGAGAAGGTGATATACAAGGAAAATGGATGATTCCAATTATCTATTAAATCAATTATTGTTTACATATGTTATAAGGATAAACTACTTTTGAAATTAATAGTATCGTCGATAATGTTAAATGTTTGGCAACTTTCAAAGTATTTTTCTAATATACATGTACGTATTCGTGTAATTTCATCTAGTTATTAATTAGAATATGCATTTTATTTAATCTTACGGATTGTGGATTCATTATTATGCATTGGATACCAATTTTCGTAGATTTTACTGGCACAGGGAAATCATGAATTTAAATGTTAAACGGATTACGAAAATATCCATAAAAACGCAAACAGAATATGTCAAAACTACGAAATCAAATATGCACGATAATTCCAAGTTGTCATCAATTCTACAAAAAAACAATGTACCCATGCATACCTATTTTCGTAACTTTCGTTGGTACAGATGAACCACGTAGTTAAAGGTTCAATGAAAAGCACATGTTCTCTTGGTTTTTTTGCGGACTTGGCTAAAACCACGAATTCAGATATCCACGAAAAGTGTTCCTTTATCCAAGAAAATTGGAACCCACAAAAAGTAAGTGAATCCACAGTATTTTGAAATTCAAATATGCATCCACTGAAGCGTATTCCTCAGTATTTGATAATGACGTATTTGTACATGTATAAATCGTCACACGAGTCATATCAATAAGAAAACTCTGTAATAGAACCCCAAAATGTTGTACGACTTTCTGAACCTTGGATAATATTTTCTCAGAACATTAAAAACAAGAATATATAACTTTATGATATGAAAAAAATATTCATTTTGATAAGATACTTTTGATTGGATCGATACAGCGATTTTTATAAACTCCAGATATATGGCATTCACCGAGGATAATACGCTCCAATTTCTAGTATTTGCTCAAGATATGTAACTACACTTTTTCTATTTTATATATTATCTGCGTTTCAAAAGTTAAAAATATATAAGAGAATGTCTTAAAATTGACATCGACAAAAATGAGACAAAAATCAAAATTGTGCATGACGTCATGAGCCTACATTATTGACCTTACCTAGGGAATTTTATTTTTGTTACACGTTAGATGTTCTAAATCTGATAATAACCTATCATGATGTTTTCCGCGGTGAGTATAATCTTTTATTAAAGAAGACATGTTTTTGCCAACGAGAAAAGAGAATGTTTAAGTCCTATAATAAAAATATGAGTCAAACTCACTCTTGGATATTCGCAAACGAATGACGCAGTAACAGAACAAGTTCTTGGTCTCCAGTACCAAACCAGAGACCCAACAAAGATAGGACTCATTCCTAAACATTCACTATCAGTATTAATAAAAGTCTGTAGTCCTGCATTTGTTGCCGCATTTACTGCAAAAAAGTGTATTAGTTGCAACTGTTGTAACATGAAAAGGACTAAACATTCACCATCAGTATTAATAAAAGTCTGTAGTCCTGCATTTGTTGCCGCATTTACTGCAAAAAAAAGTATTCGTTGCAACTGTTGTAACATGAAAAACATGTCAACTGTGAATAAAATAAAATAAAATATGGATAATCAGAAAATTAAAACAAACAAACAGACACAAAAACGAAACTGAAAAACGTGTTTTCTTGTTTATGTGTCATAAGACTGAACTTAACAGTACAGTAATATCATCTACATAACAAAAATTAAACATATCGTTTTAGCAAGACATTACGATTTTTTTCACCTAAGGCATGAACGATTGAAAATTTAAATATCGTGCTTCTGCTAGCTGATAGCTCATTTTCATGACCATATATTTAATTTATAATTATTTAACATCTATCAACACCAAAGATTCATACCTCGTTTGCCTAAATTTTGTGAAAACCACAACTTCTGACGGGGGTATTTGATAAAGGTATAAGTCCTAAGTCAGGAATCTGAGTTTCAGTGGTTGTCGTCTGTTTATGTGTTTCATAAGTGTTTCTTGTTTTTATATAGATTAGACCGTTATTTTTCCCGTTTGCATGGTTTTACATAAGTAATTTTTGGGGCCCTTTATAGCTTGCTGTTCGGTGTGAGCCAAGACTCCGTGTTAAAGGCCGTACCTTGACTTATAATGGTATACTTTTATAAATTGTTACTTGGATGGAGAGTTGTCTCATTGGCATTCATACCACATCTTTCTATATCTATAGACTTCAAATACAATATATGGAACTAAGAGATGTATGAAGTACCCTAGTTTCGAAATGATCATCATATTTGTTTGAACTTTTGGCCCTGTACGTCATATACAGTAAGTCGAAGTTTATCATTTAGGAGATAACTGTATTGTATTTTAAGCTTCGACGGCATCAATTGATGATTTGATGATCGATCGCAAATCAAGTTAACTGGTGACGCGGTAGCCAGTTAACGGGTATTTGCTACCATCAAATCACCAATTGATGCCGTCTGAGCTTAAAATACAATATTGTTATCTCCATTCTAATATATCTGACAGAAAACCACGTCAAATCATGCATTTAAATTTCTGTCATACCTCGTCTGCGCTTGCGCGTATGTTTTCATAGCATCAACCATGAAAATTAGTGACGTTATCCAATCAAAATGAACGTTACAAACGAAACGCGCGTCTGGCGTAAATATAAAATTTAATCCTGGTATCTATCATGAGTGTATATATGACTATGATTCATTACTAGAAATAAATGCATCGTCTTAAAAAAAGTGACATAACAGAAACAGATTATGACCAGATGTTTAATTTCTTTTGCGACCCTGTAGGTACCACATGTAAAGCAGTAACTTGTTGCCCATCAGCGTTCCTCAGATCTACCCGATTCATATCAGGGATTAAGTTATTAATGAATAGTTTTTATATGATTTTAACTGCTAATTATGTTAGTGATGTTTGTCCTTAACAAGTTTATGGTGTTTGTCTTTGTATGTTTGTTGTCTGTTTGAAAGCCCTCTTTGAATCTTCTCCCTTTTTCATATGAGAGAAAAGTATAAGAGTTGTATGATTAGAAGACATTGTCGACAGACCGTTGAAGACCCTTATGTAGTGAAATAGGATGCTATAGAAAAAATATTGCCTATATTGATAGTATAATCCAAAGGCCTCGTTATAAATTTTCTACTTTTATGAAAAAGTTGTCACGTATTTCAAAATCCTGCTATCGGATATTTGTATTGGTATTGCAAATATTCTGTATTGTTATGATCTATGTATGAATAACGGTGCGGCTTTTGTTCCCATAAGTTGATTTAGAGGGGGTCCTAATTACTTCCATGTTACAAAGATACAGATTGACAATCAAATTCGTAAGTAGAAAATAACTTACAACGCCATGGCGAAAAAGGAAAACAGACAAACATTTTTTTGCAAAACACAACATTAACAACTAAAGAATTAGCAACACAAACCCCACAAAAAAAGGGTTGACATCAGGTGCACCGGCAGTGTAAGAAGATCCTGCTCCACATGTGGAAAGTTATAAAACACGTTTAAGTACAAATTTCATCAGTATTTCATTTTTCTTCAGAAGCTGTAAAGAGGAGTAGCTATAGTATAATCGCTTTAACCCTATTACAGTATATAGAGAAATTACAGCAAAGACTAAGATTTGAATTATTACTATTAAAAGAAACACTGCATACTATTGTGTGTGTCAAATCGGCGAGTTCTAATTATTGCGATGGTTACCCAGTCGCAAAATTCACATTAAAGAAAAACCTCGCAATAATTTCTGAATGTTATTACCAACACATATCAGTACATTTCCCACACCTGTGTGGTATGGTGTTCCCAATATAAATTGTTATGAATACCATAAAAGACAAAAATAGCAGCAAGTTGATTTAGAAGAGCTCATAGTAATATAAATATATATTCATTGTAATTATCTTAAATTTTAAGTTACCTCCAAATGGTACCTGATCCAATACAAATCCAGTATTGCCAATTTTAAATACAAACTTTCCATTAATGTCTTTTTTGCCACCAACCCACAGCATTTCTCGTTTTCTAAAAGAATGATATTAAGCATGTTAAGGTTAGTAACTTTAGAAGGTAGTTTATATCAATGTAAATTAAAACTTCTGTAGAAAAAAGGATTTTGAATCGAACAAATACCGACAACACCATTTCTATTCTAGTTAACTATTTGTGGAATAAAATATACCCTTTTCTTGCTTATTTATATAATGTAAATGATTAGTATCTTTAAAAAAATATTTTTAGAAATAAAACTAAAAACTAAAAAATTTCAAGAAAAAATAAAGTTTTATATGTTAACAATTGCAACAATACTCATTATTGTAAATTTAACTAGTAGGCTATGTTACAAGACTTGAAATACAACAGACGACATAATATGATCTTTGAAACATTGTTTTCAGACAATCCACTAATTTCAAAATATTTGCCGTAATTCATTGTCCACTGAATTTATAAATGATATAGTTGATCAACATTATACATGTTATATATACCATGTAAAATGACGATTTTGATAAACCTGTTCATTCATGCAGACATTTAAGGAAGTACTTTTTATCAAAAGAATCATCTACATAATTCCTTTTTTTCAATGTCAAAAGTAAAATCACAAAAACACTGGTCTCCGAGGAAAATTCAAAGAGGAAACTCTCTATTAAAATGGTAAAATCAAAAGCTTAAACACATCAAATCTGAGATAAATCCTGTGATAAGAAAAAGTTATTGGCATTTTCATTTTGATCCTGTCATTGTCCTAACATTGGGCCAGTATTTATTGTAAGCCACCATGCAGTTGAAAATGATGGCACACAAACCACATATTCTTATATCTTTTAACTTTATAAAAATATAGAAGACGCACCTGTTTCATGTTATCTCGGAAAAAAGCCCGTTTACTATTAACAAAATTAGAAGGCACTCCTTTCGCCTTAACGCTGAGGTAAACGTGGAAAGAAACGCCCATTTACGTTTGATGTTTACTACAATTTTGGAGTAAACGCAGAGTTAACGCGGTGTTTACATGAAGTGCACGCGAGTAAATGCCGCGTGATTTTTTTCGTGCTTCTATATGTAATGCTTGGTCTGCAATCAACTGTATATTTTCATCGATAAAGAATTATCATTGATATTTCACTCTTAACTTACCAAGCATAAGTTTAGTCTGTACGGAATTGGCTTCCGCCTCACTGTTTGGGTTCCACAGGAGAGCTCCAGGAGTCATGGCACATGTCCTCTAATGTTGCAAAAAGAAGACATCTCTAATGTGAATCATTATTTCAACTACCTATTTTTATAAGTAGCATGATATATTAATATGAATGTATGTCTGTTTTAATTTGTTTTTGTATCATATAAGAAAACCATTTGACTTTTATTTTGTCTTAAGCTTTATAATCTACAATATGTTCAACTTGAACCTCTGCTTATACGATGAAAAAAATAATTGTTTTTTAGTTATTGGTTACTATTATTACCCAGACAATTCAGTTAACATAAAACTAAACTTCAATGTTCTTAATTCAACTTTCGTTATGTTCATGCTGTCTTGTTACTCAATAACCCAAATCTTATCTTATCACTTATCTCAGTGAACTTGAGATAAAAAAAAAAGCTGTCGAGACTAGAAGGTCTACTGCATATCTATTTTTTGTTCGGATATGAAGCCTTCTTCAACGATTTAAAACTAGAATCTTTCATAAACGTGATGATTTTAACACCCCAATAATCAATATTCCCTATCTTAGCAGTAGCATACCACTTGGTCATTCTTAAGGAGGATACTCATCAGAATTAATTGGTTGTTCTCGTGTATGTTCATACTACTCTGATTTTATTAGATTCGTTACATAAATTGTTTCAAGGAATAAGCTACTTAAATCGCCACTACATGCGTTTTATAACCTCGGTTTCGTTTTGTGACCCTTGATTTGTTTTCGGTTAATCGGTTTATGACTATTGAACAGCGGTTTACTTCTGTTGACTTTAGTTATGGTCACCATTACGTACAACAATGTATTTGTTTACCGCTACGGTATATTTAGATCTTTAGCTTATAGTTTTAAATATTCAAATACCAGAATATTCTTTGAATCTGTTATGTCAACCATTGTGTCAGATTCATAATTGTGCCATTTTGACTAAGTATGGCTTTGCATAAGGGGTAACGTATGCATCAGAGGAGACGCGATGTCAGTGTACTCTGTCTCGTTGCAAAAAGAAAAATTGTCATAGGATAATTTTCGAAAAGTTCTTTCTACAAAACAAAGTAATAATGGACTTATTTGAAATTATATGAAATCAATATGTTACGAAATAAAGAGTTTAAATTGTTTCTATTTTAAACATTACTCACCCAAGCGTTATACCATGATTTCTCAGTATTTCCACTATACAGGTAACAATTAGGGCTAGCATTTTGGTCAGTAAGCAACACATAACCATTAGGGCAATTTGTTTGAATACATGGTGCTATAAATATGACAACATTGGAGTTCAAAGAATTAAAACAATGGAAAAACATAAATGAAGATAAAGTTACCACGTTCAACACAATGTTTTGAATAATTCTAAATGCAAAAGCATTACAAAAGAGGCGGAGGTATCATAAATTGAAAATAAACTGCCAAAGACATGTCATCAGAGAGAAAAAGAGCTAATTTATACAACAAATTGCAAAAAACAAGCAACAGTCTACAAAACACAATAAATAATATTAAAGACTGTGCAACACCAAAAACCGGGGTAATCTCAGGTGCTCCGGAAAAGTAAGCAAATATCGAATTAACGTTCTGTCCACAAATAGTTCGTGCACATGTAATATTATCGATATGTATCATGTTATGTTTCTATTAAAACAAAATGATGAAATATGAATATAAGAACTCTGGGATGGAGTGTTAACGTAAATGAGACCGTAATCAACGACACAAATAACCAAACATTTATTGACCGATGTTTTATTAAATGTGTCTTGTCTGTTTAATAAGTTGTTCAAAATGCATATTCTGTCTTAAATGTCCCCTCCAAACCGATCACCTACCCCCATCCCCATCCCTCACCCACACACAAACACACATGCAAACATATACTTTTCATAAAAAAAAAGAAAAAGAACTCGGTTTATTAAGTAGAGTTTATTTTCAGTTTATCACTACCTTCCATTGGAATGTACTAAAAAAAATAAAAAGTGAATGTTTTAAAACAATAATTTACATGTAGGCCATTGTAAAAGAGAGGCAAAATTTTCAAAAGGTATCGTTCGTCCTTAACATGCATGGAATATTTGCCACTGGACGTTAAGCAACCAACAACCAATCATTAGGAATATTCCAACTTATAAGTTGAAACCCAACTCATAATGACATGGCAGTATAACAGGGGAAAAACATAAAACATAACCACAGTATACAACTGTAAACAACATAAAGCATAACAAATTAAAGACATATCAACACAAAAGTGCTTTTTGTCTAGACACGATAAAGCTTGCTTCAAATAAAGGTGGATATACACATCCAAATGTATTGGTAACATTATAGATTGACAATGTAATTATGACATCTATAGCTTAGTTATTCAATGTTTCTGATAGACGCACTAGAAAATTGTTGCTATATGAATCACAGACAGGTGCATACATCACTGAAGGACTACTTCATACTACATATAGATCGAGGCCGTTGCGATATTAAGGTAACAAGAGGGGAATACCGACATTTGTTATATCTTAACATAAGCTAAATGATTTTGTCAATAATACTCACTATTTGTTGTTGATGAGGTTTGCGTTGTTGATAAGGCTTGCATTGTTGGAGTCAAAGTTACCTGACTGACACTAGTTGTTGTACTGGGAATCATCATTCCCATCATAGCCATCATAGGTACCGTAATCAAAGATTGGAAAAAAAGTAGGGAAAAAATAGATCCAAAGCCGTTTCCAAAAAAGTTTCCTATAAAAGTTTCTGCAATGGATTTTGAAATAAAAGATGAGTAAATGTAATACAAATAACCAATGATTATAATTGATAACTACTTAGTATAGTGTTCTTTCAACACCAGATGAAAATAGTTCAAACATAAGATTGGTTGTGTTAAGTCATCTTGAATGGCGTTACCGGTATCACGGATGATAAATGTATATCGTCAAGTGTCAGATTTCACATTCAAATCTATATGCATCATACATGTACGTGTGATCTTTAGAATATTCTTATGTTCTATTGTGATCAGCTCAGCAGTCACGTTTAAAATATTTTTCAAAGAACTGGTATGTTTAAAACATCAATGCATTTACTGGTAATATTACAACGACCAAAAGTGTTGTGTTCAGTTGGAATTTTTGTATTGACATTATTATGTGTGGTTTTCATTTTTTTACGTGTTGTCGATATTACAAGTATTTGATAAACACATTGCACTTGAAATTTGAATTCATGAAACAAATAAAAAATCATTTTTAATGGCGCTCCGAATATGAAACAATGAACAAGTGTTTAAAACTTTTTGTATATTTTATTTTGCTTATGGTTTACTGTTTTATTTCAAAGTTGTCCGAATTAAAAAAAAACAAGTGTGCAACAAAAGTAAATTGCAATATACATGATATAGAAATATCAATATGTTATAAAAATGTATAATTGCAATACAGAGTTTACATGGTTCCGCATTTGTTTTTGTTTTTTTGTACTCTATCAAAGCAAGACGGGTAGTTCTTTTGTTGTTTTGTTGTTTTTGTTATATTTCTTTCGACAGAACAGTGATAATTAGTTAAGAGTATTAAAAGGCGCGGAAATACTACTTCTTTAGCATGTTAAATGTACAATATTTATAATATATGAGTATGTTGAAGTCACCAATACTGACATTGATAGGAATTATACATTTTCAAAGACATCTGTTTATTAGTAACGCATTTACCTCAGGCATCGTCTTCAATTACTAACAAATTTGGCCGTTCTTCTTCAGCATTTTGAAATACTAAGCTTACACATAGTGGAAGGAAATCCACGATCAGTACTATAAATATAAGCTGAAAAAGAGAACATAAAAGTATGTGATATTTAAGTTTTTAAAGCAATTTATCGACGCAATGAATTAAAATGCATTCAACATAATACTGCTCAGCAAATTAAGTATTGGGTTACATGATCATATAAGATATGGTATGATTGCTAATGAGACAAATATCCACCAATATTAATTGAAATGGATGTAAGCAATTATAAGCAACCGTACGACATCAACCATGAGACAAACCCATACCGTATAGCTATACCAGCCCCAATTATATGTTTGGCTGTTTAAAAAGAATTCAATGTGCACTGAAAGATGTGTTTCTGGAATTTAAACATTATTAATTAATTGGTAGCAACATAATTATCTGACCATTTTCTGCAATCAAAAGTCATTAAATGATCAAGTTAAACGATTACAAATCAATTTCGTATTATTTCAAAGTAAAAAAAAATCATGATTTTCTTGCCTTCAGAAGAAAATGCGTTTAAAGCAAGCACATTTTTGGAAAGTGCTACTACATTTTGTGTATTGAAATTTCCCCCAAAATGTAAAACAAATTTTCTTCTGATCACTTCAAACAATACAAAAACCTTTTGTTTTTATCATAGCCGTGTGCGTTACGGCAAAAAAAAACTTTATTTAAAGATTTGAAAAATGTTATAAAAAAGCAAAAGGACTTCTACCACCAGAGAGCAGGCTTTTTAAAAGTTAGTTTTGCATCTTTTTTGTTTTTGTTTAAACATTTAGAATATCTATAAAATTTTACACACTTCGAAGTAAAAATGTAACCACAGAAATGAAAAAAATAAAGTAATACATTATGTTGAGAAATATATTTCTCACTATTGTTAGGATACCAATGTATCGGATTTTTTGTTTAAATTGTTGAAGAAACTTGATACTTTCATTGCAATATAATCATGAACTCCATTCTTGCAGTGAATATAATACTAGAACGCCATAAACAGGAATAAATATATACGACATTCCTCTGATTTTAAATGAGTTAGTGAAAGGGCAGAACCCTCAATTGCATGCTACATTTATTTACAGGAGGGAATATTTTGAAATGTTGGTACTTTTATCACAGCAATAGCTCCTCATCACAAAGGCATCTAAAATAAGTTTTCGTCCAAATATGGTCTAAACTTTAAGTACCGTTTGTTGATCATTCATAATTTAGACTATTGAAAAAGGGAAATTCTTCACAAGCTTACAGTACTGCAATAAGACATAGTGGTGATACACTTTTGCAATTGTAATCGAAGTTCTGTCATGAAAATGAACAGCCAACAACAAAATCAATACATTAAAACTAACCTTATAATTTTGTGCCATCATGAACTCTCTTCAGATTTATGAAAAATGAAATGTTCACTATGATATCATATGTTTTTTAGTGTGTTGACCTTCTCCTGAATCCTACGGTTTAACTATTAAACATCGATGTCTTATTCGAATATATGCTTCCGTAATATGTTGACAAATCAGAAAGTCAACCCACGTGTTTCTTAGGGTGAACCTGTTTTTTTTCGAAGAAAGGTATACAAGTACCAATGTAAGTTCATAGGGACTGATATTTGATGACCAAGGAAGTGTTATATGTCTGAAAACAGTGATGTATCTGTTTTGACGGATATAAATTATAATGATCTGTCCAAATCAGCTGTTCGAGCATAGTTGATTTATATCAAGTGTTTTTTAATCATTTGTGATCAATATTCAGTTCTTAGAAATTAAATGTCAAATTTAAATCTGACAATTGATGTGATAGACGTTTTAAATATAATTAACATTTATTAAAACAACTTATTTGATAAGCATTTTTTTATAAATTTAATGAAATCTTTCCATAAAAATTACATTTAGATGTGAAAATGAACCGCCAACATCAAATACATTGCAGTGATACTAACCTTGTCATTTTGTGTCATCATGTTCCCTCTTCAAATGTACGGTTAAACGGGATAAAATGGGATGTTCAGTATAACATGTATAATATCGTACGTTTTTTAGTTTATTGACCGGTGAAACATCGATGTTCTTTTAAAAATAAATGCTTCCGTTATCTGTTTGAGAAATTAGAAATCGCCTACATGTATCTCAAGGCAAATCTGTTCATTTCGAATCATTCGACTCGTGTCCACCGTTCAATATGTAAATGCCAGAAGGAATATAATACAACTGTAAGTTAATAAGGATAGATGTTTTTAATCAAAATGAAGTATTATATTTATTAAAACAATTATTGAGAAGGAGCTTTTTACCATATGTGCAGTTGATTGTCTTTTTATTAATTTTTGGTTTCTTTCCATGGTAATGTCAGTTTGATTTCTATTGATGACTTTCGAATGTGAATAAACTAAATGTCTAGGCCTGCATCTTACAATATATCAGTCGATTTGTTTGTTTGTTCATTTGACTGTTTTCTTATGAAACCATGCAATCATACCGACATAAATATATCCATTTGACAATGTATCACATTTATCAACTTCAAACATTTCAAATCCAAGCATGTTTAATAATCTTAAGTTGTGCATAGCTGTATGGACAAAATAGACTTGAAGATAAATCTTTATCAAAGGTCAAGTGAAAGAATTGAAACCTAAACCTCGACTTATCAATGGAGAATTCTAAAATGGGTATGATTTAAACAATGTCAATTACGAATCACTGACTATTGAGATAATGACCTTTCGCTGATACAGCCCTTGGATGGTGTAAACTTCCCAAAATAACGTGTATGGTGTAATGGTGTATGGCATATGGTGCAATGGTAGAAGGTGTATGGTGCTATGGTGTATGGTGTAAGGGGAATGGTGTAATGGTGTATGGTGCTATGGTGTGATTGTGTAACGTGCGATCGGGAATGGTGTGAATGAATAGTGTACGACATTTCATTGGTTGAAACCGAAGTTCATTTTATTTTAATTTTTCGGATTGTAAACATAAACAATAATAATAATCCTATTGTTCTTTTTTCCCAGTAAAGCAAATTACTTTACTCGTTAGACTCTATGTCATATATATTTAATATACACATATTAAAAAATCTTTTTTTTTCATATTCTTATTTACATTAAACAATGGCTTTAAAATTACACACTTGTGATCACATGCAGTTATCATAAAAGAAAGGATTTTATTTAAACTAGAAGGCGGATAGAAAGGTTATCCACGCATCGGAACAGTATTATTATATCACGGGTTATCAACATCATTTTTAAAGTTGCTTCGTTCCCCACTTTTGACAGTCTCTTTATAAATATCTTATCGTCATTCACCTATGTTTGCCTTGGATTTACGATTCTGTTTTCCAAAAAATGTTCAAAGGAAAATTGTACAGTGTTATTGCACATAAGGTGTTGTATAATTATGAACAATCTCGTCAATTTCGTTAGATTTGTCTTTACGGATTATAAATGATATATTGAACGTCCGAAAAAATATACTTATGTGAAACGGAATGAAATATTTGCCACTTGATATTTAGCCACCAACAAAATCAACCAACCGACATAATATACTAACAGTATACTTTTCCTAGAAGAGAACTTCTCATACTTTTCATTATAAAGTACAAATGAAATCTGTCATGTCAGTCACACTGTTGGATGATGAGGTGGAATAGTTTTATTATACAAACCATCCTGAACTACTGAGTTTAAATCATCACACCTCAGCAAGCACGACTAATTTATGCGCAGACCAACCCATCACACAATAGCCCAAAAGGAATCTGTGATGTACCCGTCCATATTCAGAAGTCATGGAAGTGGGAAATACAGATACTGATACTGACTTTAGTGACAGTTTTATATAACGAATACAGAGATGAAATGCTGGCATTCTAAATTAAAGCGGACAAGAATTTGTTATCATTGTATTGCAATGTTGCTGTCATTTGTATTATACAATCCATCCTGACATCAAAATATTGCTGATTTACTATGCGGCTATATAGATTTACATAATAAAGTGCAAATATGGTCAGTTTTGGTTGATACTTTAAAATAGTTTTGTTATATGAGTCAGCCTGAGGTATCAAAACTACTGAAATTTTCTTGTGACACAATATTTTGAATAAAAAGAGGACATGCTGGCAATCTAGATTGATGGGGACAAATTTGTGTTGTCATTGTATTGCAATGTTGCTGTCATTTGTATAATGCAATCCATTCTGACAACAAAATATTGCTGATTTACTATGCGGCTATATAGATTTACATAATAATAAAATGCAAATATGGTCAGTTTTGGTTGATTCGTTTAAATAATTTTGTTATACGAGTCAGCCTGAGGTATCAAAACTACTGAAAGTTTGTTGCGTGACAATATTTTGAATAAAAAGAGGACATGCTGGCTATCTAGATTGATGGGAATAAATTTTTGTTGTCATTGTATTGCAATGTTGCTGTCATTTGTATTATACAATCCATCCTGACATCAAAATATTGCTGATTTACTATGTTGCTATATAGATATACATAATAATGTGCAAATATGGTCAGTTTTTGTTGATGCGTTTAAATAATTGTGTTATACTAGTCAGCCTTAGGTATCAAAATTACTGAAATTTTGTTGCGAGACAATATTTTGAATAAAAAGAGGACATGCTGGCAATCTTAATTGATGGGGATAATTTTTGTTGTCATTGTGTTGCAATGTTGCTGTCATTTGTATAATGCAACCCATTCTGACAATAAAATATAGCTGCTTTACTATGTGGCTATATAGATATAAATAATATTAAAAGTGCAAATATGGTCAGTTTTGGTTGATGCTTTAAAATAATTTTGTTATACAAGTCAGCCTGAAGTATCAAAACTACTGAAATTTTCTTACGAGACAATATTTTGAATAAAAAGAGGACATGCTGGCTATCTAGATTGATGGGGACAAATTTTTGTTGTCATTGTATTGCAATGTTGCTGTCATTTGTATTATACAATCCATCCTGACATCAAAATATTGCTGATTTACTATGCGGCTATATAGATATACATAATAAAGTGCAAATATGGTCAGTTTTTGTTGATGCGTTTAAATAATTTTGTTATACTAGTCAGCCTTAGGTATCAAAATTACTGAAATTTTGTTGCGAGACAATATTTTGAATAAAAAGAGGACATGCTGGCAATCTTAATTGATGGGGATAATTTTTGTTGTCATTGTGTTGCAATGTTGCTGTCATTTGTATAATGCAACCCATTCTGACAATAAAATATAGCTGCTTTACTATGTGGCTATATAGATATAAATAATATTAAAAGTGCAAATATGGTCAGTTTTGGTTGATGCTTTAAAATAATTTTGTTATACAAGTCAGCCTGAAGTATCAAAACTACTGAAATTTTCTTACGAGACAATATTTTGAATAAAAAGAGGACATGCTGGCTATCTAGATTGATGGGGACAAATTTTTGTTGTCATTGTATTGCAATGTTGCTGTCATTTGTATTATACAATCCATCCTGACATCAAAATATTGCTGATTTACTATGCGGCTATATAGATATACATAATAAAGTGCAAATATGGTCAGTTTTTGTTGATGCGTTTAAATAATTTTGTTATACTAGTCAGCCTTAGGTATCAAAATTACTGAAATTTTGTTGCGAGACAATATTTTGAATAAAAAGAGGACATGCTGGCAATCTTAATTGATGGGGATAATTTTTGTTGTCATTGTGTTGCAATGTTGCTGTCATTTGTATAATGCAACCCATTCTGACAATAAAATATAGCTGCTTTACTATGTGGCTATATAGATATAAATAATATTAAAAGTGCAAATATGGTCAGTTTTGGTTGATGCTTTAAAATAATTTTGTTATACAAGTCAGCCTGAAGTATCAAAACTACTGAAATTTTCTTACGAGACAATATTTTGAATAAAAAGAGGACATGCTGGCTATCTAGATTGATGGGGACAAATTTTTGTTGTCATTGTATTGCAATGTTGCTGTCATTTGTATTATACAATCCATCCTGACATCAAAATATTGCTGATTTACTATGCGGCTATATAGATATACATAATAAAGTGCAAATATGGTCAGTTTTTGTTGATGCGTTTAAATAATTTTGTTATACTAGTCAGCCTTAGGTATCAAAATTACTGAAAAATTGTTGCGAGACCATATTTTAATTAAAAAGAGGGCATGCTGGCTATCTAAATTGATGGGTATATTTTTTGTCGTCATTGTGTTGCAATGTTGCTGTCATTTGTATTATACAATCCATTCTGACATCAAAATATTACTGATTTACTATGCAGCTATATAGATTTACATGATAAAGTGCAAATATGGTCAGTTTTGGTTGATGCTTTAAAATTATTTTGTTATACGAGTCAGCCTGAGGTATCAAAACTACTGAAATTTTCTTGCGAGACAATATTTTGAATAAAAGAGGTCATGTTGGCTATCTAGATTGATCAGGACAAATTTTTGTTGTCATTGTATTGCACTGTTGCTGTCATTTGTGTTATACAATCCATCCTGACAACAAGATATTGCTGATTTACTATGTGGCTTTATAGATATACATAATAAAGTGCAAATATGGTCAGTTTTTGTTGATGCGTTAAAATAATTTTGTTATACGAGTCAACCTGAGGTATCAAAACTACTGAAATTTTGTTGCGAGACAATATATTGAATAAAAAGAGGACATGCTGGCAATCTAGATTGATGGGGACAAATTTTTGTCATTGTACATGTTGTTTTGCAATGTTGCTGTCATTTGTATTATAGAATCCACCCTGACATCAAAATATTGCTGATTTACTATGCGGCTATATAGATCTATATAATAAAGTGAAAATATTATGGTCAGTTTTGGTTGATGAGTTAAATAATTTTGTTATATGAGTCAGCCTGAGGTATCAAAATTACTGAAATTTTGTAGCGAGACAATATTTTTAATAAAAGGAGGGCAAAAATATTTCCAAATTTTTTAACCCTATATAAATTAACAGATTGACACACTCCCCATTTCCATTCTCAATTTTATAATTATAAGTGCAAATATGGTCAGTTTTGGTTGATGCTTAAAATAATTTTGTTGTACATGTTGTACATGTACCAGTCATCCTGAAGTATTCATTTTTGGCATTGTTTGTCGATTTTATCTGAAAACCAAGTTTATAAGATTTACGATACATGTTAAAACCGATAATAATAGCATTGTAACCAATATCGTTTTTAATTTATAGATAGGCAGATCGCGGATAAATTTGCATTACAAGCAAAGTTTTATGCGTACTTTATTTACAAATACATGTATATATATTTAATCTGTATTGTTTATATAACCATCATAGGCATGACCACGGAGATTTTAATTTTATACATTAAATTACAATATTGTGATCAAAATTCGTTTTTTAAATCAAATAAATAATTTTGTAGTCGCACGCTTTCTTTGAAATTTAATTGCATTATGGGTAATTTCGGATCGTGTAGATAGAATGGGGAATGGTGTATGGTGTAATGTGTAAGGTGTATGGTGCAAAGGTGTAACGTGTATGGTGTAATGGCACAAGGTGTATGTTGTAATGGTGTATGGTGAATGGTGTAATGGTGTATGGTGTGAGTGGGAAGTTTACACCATCCAAGGACTGTAAACATTTCACCCGTAGTAGTATCAACCAAAATAGGACCTATAGAAGCCGACTTTGTCAAGGTGTAGACATTTGTTATTTGATATCACAAAAGACAATACTATCGTTAGAATGTTTTTCCGTAAAGAGAAAACTGAATGTATTTGTTATTTTTCCAGTTTATTATTTGAATCATCAATGCATATCCAATATGAAAAGAAAGATATAAGATATGATTACTAGTGAGGAAACAGTGTTCGTTGTCAGTTTTTTTTTTGTTTTTTTTTTTTTGGTTTTATGAGTTTGTTTGTCCCTCTGGTATCTTTTGTCTCTCTTTTAAAAACAGATCGACCAGTTCGTATGCTTTTTACATCTTTCACGCTAACACCGCATAACCGTAGACTTATCTCAGAGATATCTCAGTTGTTCTTGTCATCGCTACTCCTTCGCAACCGTAAACGATACTGACAAATACGTTTTTTTGGCAAAATGCTTATAACATCTTCAGGATTTCGAATACAAATATGACCAGAGTAATCCTGATATTCCATACGAAAGTTATTTCTCCTAATTTCTATGATGTAATCGATATGTTTCTATATCTTGTAATCATTAATTGATAGATATCTAGAGCCCTCATATTTATAGTCCAGGAACAACAAAAAAAAGAAAACGAGGCCAAGGTAGTCTTTTTTATTTTGACATTGGCTTCATATGCTTTTACTCAGAAAGAGATATAGACACATCAATTTAACAAATAATTAGTCGCAAATGTTATAATTTGAATAACAGTATTTGTCAAATTGATATCCGACATTTTTTTTGCGGTTTCAATGCCCCTGAAATTATTTAATCTACATATTACCTAATTACAACTTTAAATGTTACAGCATATCAAAGTTTATATGTATCTAATATAAATCGATCAATCAACCAAGGTCCGTTTATCGTCGACGAACTCGCCCCATCCCGCCCCCGGTATGTTTGAGTTACCACAATTATATTAGAATTAAAATTGCCTTCTGTTCTGTGGTGTTTTTGAAAAATGCAATCCGACACATGTATAACTTTCTGAAAGAGAAATCTGCTGCAATTTTCATGTTTTTTATTTTCCCAAAAAAAAAAAATCGAAAAACGTTTTATTTAATTACTATCATGATAATTGAATTTTTTTTTGGGGCATGCACTGAATAAAGACTCTAAGCCAGGGACAAGAGCTCTTCAATTTAGATGTAAATGAATAAGAAAATATAATCTCGTTAGCATTATGAATACTGGCCAGATCTGGGCTGAAAAATAAAAAAAAATCAATGCAATTCAAAATCACTCTCTTGTTCTTAGCTATTAGTGGTATCCTACATTTAAATTTCTAAACATGCACTAAGCACATACACTGGCATAACAATGGTGAAATAGGTTCATTTTCTCAAAACAAAAAAAGATTAATTTGTAATTTAGTATCACGAGAAACAAAGACACAAAACATGTATTATCAAACATCAATTATGTGTAGTAACTAAAATCAATAGTTAGTGTGTTATTCCATCAATACTCATGTTGTCGTGTTGACAAACTCTCTTAAAAAGACTTCAAGTAGACCATCATTTTGCCTTTGATATCGATACTTCGTGACGTCATAATCACACCATCTTCGAATAGAATACGAAATATGCAGGTGATTTCAACAAAAGTTATAATCTACTAGTAGACACGGTTGCTCCACAAAATTAAGAGAAATAAAAGTGCATACAACAAAAACATAGAACATGAATCACTGGGGTCATTATTATAGAATGAAGACATTACTTAAGGAAGATGCAAGGATATTTTATTTAAAGAGAACAGCAATGTTAGTACAAACCTTGTAATAAGTCTAATTCGGTGAGTAACATTTGTGAAAAGGGACGGGCTTGTTGTTACGACATTAGGAACATATCCACTACAATCTGTGAAACGGATATTCTACAACGGTCAACCACATCGCGATGGGGATGATTTCAACTTCAGCACTCGAAACTCTTAGTTTGATATGCCCATGTATACATTCAAAAGTGCAAACTACAGAGTTCGCAAAGAAAATTAAACTATTATACTGAATTTCAAGTTTATGTATAAGAATGCTTCATACATATTACACAAGGGAGATAACTAAGCAAAAATCTGAAAGTTTTAATCCCGTTCTTTTGTAAAGACAATATCAATCAGCTTAACATTAGTGATAGTCAAACTACTGTATATCCAATAATATTTATTTTTTCTCGATAACATGTGTTTTACATTTTTATATTTCTGTCAAAGGGCCAAAGTTAATAGTTTGTTATTTAACGAAAATGAAACGAGCCAAATCAATTTAACCAAGATGTTTGGTACCACCTGAATATCAAGTTACAATTAAAATATTGCTACATATTATGTCAATATATTTTCCTGATCCTTCTTCTCTGTCTCTTTTTGCACTTTATACAATACAAAGAACAGATATAATCATGGTATCTGCTGGAACAGCCGTATCTACAAATAAAAAGAACAAAATGTATTCCTAAATATGACGCTTATGTATGAGGTGCTCAGAACCAGGAGTAAATTTGCTAAAAACCTCGGAATAACCTCACACATTTTTACACTTCTACGTGGATAAAAATATTACTGTCATGCTTTAATTAAACAGTGAAAAGGTGTAATCTTTGAAACGTCAAGTGAAGTTTCAGGGATAAATATAGCTTCTTTTCAAAAGAAGATCTTTCTGTTTGACTGTTTTCAGAGTCTTCTTTTACAAAATTTATGAACGACTTTGTGTTTTTATTTACAGATGATGTATCTTAAAGGGCCATTTTTTAAATTAAACTAAGTTATACAAATTATTTCAATCAATCTAAAACACATTAATGAAACATCTGAATAGTGTTAAAATGACGCATTTGTATAGTTTTGCAAGGAGAAAATGATTAACATTGTATTTTCTCTGATATTTTGAGAGATTTAGCATTGACTTCTAATTCACAGCTTTAAATGCTGGGTGGGAAGAATAGTCATCTGTACATTTTTTTGAATGGTGGTTGTCATTGCTGATGAAAAAATATTAATGATTTGTAAAGAGGTTTCATGGTGCATTTTAGTGACCATTCATTGTACATATCATTATCGAGTGTATCTTGTAGAGTGAAGAACTTGAAAATAAGGAGATGTTGTATGATTGGCAATGAGAAAACTATCCACCAAACTTCAAAGAAGTGAATGTAAGCAATCACGTGCAACCGTACGGGCTTCAATAATAAGAAAACATTCATACTGTATGGTCGGCTTATCATTTTTGTTTATACAGTTAAGCTTTGGTTGAACTCCCAAGCCGAAAGAATAAATCTAGCCTGTTGAAAAATTCCTCGTCAGTAAAAACAGTAATTTACTGTGGTTTTAGTGTTAAAAATTTATTAGAAAGACTAATAATCACATATTGACTTACCTAATTAGACTTATCACAGGGTTTTTTTTTACATTAACAACACGACAAGTGAAGTGAAGCAGGATCTCCTCTCCCTTCCAGAGCACATGAGATCACTCCCGGTTTTTGGTAGGGTTCTTATGGCTCAGTCTTTGGTTCACTATGGTGTGTTTTGTATAGTTTTTATATTTTAGTCTTTTTATCTATTTTGCCATTGTTTTGTAAATACATTTTCGACTTATGAGTTTGAATGTTCCTTTGACATCTTTCAACTCTCTGTCACTATATGCATTCACACTCAAGTCAACATTGGTACAATCAGAAAGAAGACACGGTTGATAAAATTCAAAAAAGACTTTTCTTGTATCCTAATATTTGATACTACTGAAACATGTCGCTAGTTGGTTGAGACACGGACAAATCGTATCAGTCAACCATTTTGTGATCGATTGATTGTGTGTAACTCGCTTTACGTCAAATGGCAAATAGTGCATTTTTAGTACGAAAAAAAATGAATGACGGGAAGTTTGGAATGACAATTGAAAAAATGGAATAGTGGATAGGGATAGGAGTTTTATTAGCCTTTGAACACGCCCATACAGTCCGATTGAAGAGTTGTTCCAAGTATTCTCAACTCGAATTGTAATCTGACATTCAGCAGTGAGGAATAGTAGTATTGAAAAAGGGACATATGAGCTAAGGGTGTTTTAATGTTTAATAATGATAAGCTCAACACACTAAATTAGTTCGAACTTTAAATGCAAGCTTACCATTGGTCCAGTTTCTAGGTGTGAAGTTTTTGGTGTACAGGAAAAGTGGAATGGCTCCTTTCTTTTCCCATGGACAATAAGGAGTTTGATCAATAACAACAAACCATCCATCATCTCCTGGACATCCATGATAACTTTTATTTACAAAAAACTTGCGCCGTGAATTTCTGAAGAAATAATCAGATATCAACTTGATCACATTTAAAATTAATGTTTACCTGTATATGATAATATAAATTATTTCCAGTGCCTGAGGGAGATATGAAGATGTGTTCACCCAAGCACATTCATATTTCATGAAAGCATCGCCCGATGGAACTATATCTTTTCGAGGGTGAAAACATCTTCATATCTCAATAAGCCAATTGAAAATGAATGTTTTATTCCACTACCTATACTTTTTTCCTTCCTGAACATTATTCTTTATCTTATCCGCTTCTTTTTGTTTTTGTAACTAAACACTACATGAAGAATGATAATCAAAACTAAACATAATCTATTCATTATAATTCCTTTTTTTCTTTTAGACCTGAATTAATTTTGAAAACGAAATTACTTTACAATCTCTAAAAATATTTAAAACGTTATTTAAATATTAACGCACGTAATGTTGTATACGGAAGTTCCGAGGGGAATATGATACTCAGAGGGTAATATAAAGTTTTGTTCGACGTCATGTGGCATAGTCTCGTCCAATCAATTGTTGATTTCGCTATCAATATTAATAAGCAGTGCAATAACATCATTTGAGATAACTTAATTTGACACAATGTAAAACATTGTAAAATATTATATAGTATATGATATTATATGGTATGATGTATAGTATAATATTACATTACTTAATTGTATCTTTAGCAATATATTAAAAATTATCATAGAATGCATGATATACAGTTAGTGATAAAGTTTTGATATTTAGAAATAAATGCACAGCAAGGGAGAATAATTGTAATTAGTTATATAACCGACAATAACGTTCTTATGTGCAGTTTGCAAACATTTCACTTGCCAATTGGAAATAATACAACTTTTTAGCAAAAAATACAAATATAACTACTGACCTAACAACAAAGTTGATTGCATGGATAATGGTTATATTTTTTCGTTTACTGTATGCCTATAGTCATGCAATCATTAAAACTCTCTTGATCATTACAAGTATAATTATTGCCGTTTTAATCTGTTCTCTTTAAAACGACTCTGAATCAACAAGTCGGTGTAAGTACATGTTTTTGATACCGTCAACATGGTCATGTATTGTTCCTGCATGTATCAAGAATATTTTATTGTCAATTTACTCCTATTTCCTTACCATGTTTACTGTATACAAAATAAGTGTTAGTCATTAAAATAAACTATTAGTAAATTATTTACCCAGTTATTGAAAAGAAGTTAAATGTACTGCAGGATTCCAAGTCATTAAAACTACTGTCTGCTAGATTTGCTCTACTAAACCAGTTCATCTTATCTGTATGTCTGCCATTAAAGGACATCCATGCAACAACATGATTATTCTTGAAAAATTCTATTTTCACCTGTGAACATTAAAATAAACAAACACAAAAAAATTAAAAATTAAATGCTACGTCATAGTAAAATGTCGTTGGTTATTTTGTTATTGTTTGTACAACAGATAATTTAGTTAACCTACATGTCTATAAACTTATCTTTCGTATTGAAAAGAATTAAAACAAACAATATTAAACACCATGTTCAAGCCTTGGGCTTCGTCTTTATGTAATTGGTGCCTTTGTTGTTCGGTATTTGTTATAGATATAGAGCTGGAACTTCTTTCTTTGTTTCTTTAGTTATATCTGTTATCAAATACAAGTTACCGTCTTTATATTTGCAGTACCCCAATTATCGATAATTCTATTTCTTAAATGGCGGCTTGTGCCCTGATTAACGAACGATGTTGGTAGATCGTTACACAATGCCTGGTTGTTCCATGCTTCAAGAACGGGCTTTCCATTTCCGGAAAATGCTATAAACACAGGAAACCAAACTAAAATGTAAAAGTTTTTATTTCACATTTCATGTCAGATAAAATATCGTATGATATAAATGTTTAAGAAGGACATTTCTATAGTAATGTGCCTTTAATAAAAAAAAAAGATGTTGTTTATCGTCTTAATAACGTGTTATATTATTCTTTTATTTGTCTTAAATATTATTACTTTTACTGTTTAGTCTGGTTTTTTTTTTTTTTTTGGTGATATCCTTTAGACGTGACTCTAAACTTATTTATCCATCAATGTGTTATTCTTATTACTTATACACCCCGTCATTGTGTTATTGTTCTATGACAAGTTGTGCATTCTTGTCTTTCATTTTTGCTTATGTGCTTTGTTTATATGCCATTTTGTGTTAACTTTCTTTATTACATATGACTTGGCTCTGTACTTATACATCCCGTAATTATGTTCTTGTGGTATTGTAAATTTTTGTATTCTTGTCTTTCATTTTTGAATACATTATGCTTTGTCTATATGCCTTTTTGTGCTTCTTTGTTACATATTTGTTTGTTTTCGTAGTGATGAAGATTATAACACAATGTTGACTGCTGTTCCTCTTTTTTTGACATTTTTATCAACTGTGTGTGTTTGTTTTGTACGCACATCGTTGTCAATATAACGGAATTTGATGCTACTTTCATACAAGTGAGACGTTTAGCTAGTTATAAAACCAGGTTTAATCAACCATTGTGTACATTACAAAATGCCTGTACCAAGTCAGGAATATGACATTTGTTATCAATTCGTTTGATGTGTTTGATTAGGGACTTTCCATTTTGAATTTTCCTCGGAGTTCAGTATTTTTGTGATTTTACTTTTTAAATGCTTCATAAAACTACCAGCACTAACATGTATATAGTTCTTACCTTCTGTTGTGCTGACACTTTCGGGAACAACAAGCAAAACCAGAACTAAGATACACATGGTCATTTCAGCATTCGGTTTCATACTATATCATGAAAAAAAATATTATTAAAATAGCTACATTATGCATTTATAAGCATATTTTCAAAATAAATTACATTATTAACAAATAAAACGTAAGAATATTGTTATTAGAATAAAATAGAATAGAACAAATTATATAAGGTAGGGTTATATGAAACATTACAAACATAAGCTCTATAGAACTTTTTGCCGACACTTTTTTTTTTGTGATCTGTTTTAGTTATTTGTTTGCGTTATATTACACTAGTAGCAAGATTTCAGTCTGAAACGGTCATTTTGGTCTGATCAAGTCTGAATCAACTGAATTTACCGCTAGGGAAAAACGTTAAGACTTTTTAAGACTTTCAGACGCTGTTCAGATATGTCGTGTTCAGTCCGTTCATTCATGTCAAGATAAACAAGACAGAAGGCTCTAGCTGTTAAACAAGATATGTTAAGACGGTTTTAGACGAATTCAGACCAAACATAAAAAGTAATGTTCAAAATTTTCAGATCGGGTTAAGATCCGTTTAGTGTGTCAGAATGATATTAGGAGTTACGCCCCTTCATGTGGATGATACATTTTAATTATAAAAAAATTACAATATAAATGCTAGAATGAAAAACGTATATTTTTAATAATTAAACATAAAATCATTGGTTGACGTTTTATTTCTGTTGGTCTTTTTTTAAGAGATTAGTGATTTTGTTTTGTTGAGGAAATAACTTATTCGCCTATAACTGTTTATGATTTTATTTTATTTTTTATTTTCTGATGTTAATTTATGTATTTATCTACTTATTCTTTGAAAAGAAGTAATTGCAAATTTTAAACATAACATTATCAAAAGAGTGAAAACACCTTATAAATTTCATGCGTCTGAAGCACGTTTCTGGATTTAACTTCATCGGGAACGATAAACGTAAAGACAAATATGTTTTATGTCAGATAATTTATATCGTTAATTTCGTTATCTTTCGATACTTTCCTCTAAAACTTAATAATTACTTCGTGGCTTTTAGTAATCATTCCCCGTGCGTGTTATTCTTTTTATATTTGGACAACCGTCTTCTTTTTTTTTTTTTTTGCTTTTATTTCGTAGTGATGCGTAGTCACCAAGGCCGCATCAGGGAACCATGTCTCCGAGTGCAGTTAATATTCTGAAAACTGCACTTAGACCGTGACGAGACAATAAAACTATAAATAACATACCATCGGAAAGAAGAAGATGTTGATGGGAGGGGGCGGGGAGGAGGTTACAGAATAGAGAATGAGTGGCAATAAATATAAAGAATAGAGAAAATGGATAAAAAAAAATAAAGAATAGAGAATAATAAGGTGCTTGAATATAAAGAATTGATAATAATAGACAAAAAGTTTAAAGAATAGAGAAAATCGGCATAGAAAATTAAAGAATAAAGAACTAGAGGCTCTAAAGAGCCTGTGTCGCTCACCTTGGTCTATGTGCATATTAAACAATGGACACAGATGGATTCATGACAAAATTGTGTTTTGGTGATGGTGATGTGTTTGTAGATCTTACTTTACTGAACATTCTTGCTCCTTACTATTATCTCTATCTATAATGAACTTGGCCCAGTAGTTACAGTGGAAAATATTTTGTAAAAATTTACAAAAATTTACAAAATTTATGAAAATTGTAAAAAATTGACTATAAAGGGCAATAACTCCTTAAGGGGTCAATTGACAATTTTGGTCATGTTGACTTATTTGTAGATCTAACTTTGCTGTACATTATTGCTGTTTACAGTTTATCTCTATCTATAATAATATTCAAGATAATAACCAAAAGCTGCAAAATTTTCTTAAAATTACCAATTCAGGGGCAGCAACCCAACAACATGTTGCCTGATTGGTCTGAAAATTTCAGGGCAGATAGATCGTGACCTAATGAACAATTTTATACCATCAGATTTGCTCTAAATGCTTTGGTTTCAGAGATATGAGCCAAAAACTGCATTTTACCCTATGTATTATTTTTTTGCCATGTCGGCCATCTTGGTTTGCGGGCAGGGTCATCGGACACATTTTTTAAACTAGATACCCTAATGATGATTGTGGACAATTTTGGTTAAATTTATCTTAGTAGTTTCAGAGGAGAAGATTTTTGTAAAAGATTACAAAAATTTACGAAAAATGGTTAAAAATTGAATATAAAGGGCAATAACTCCTTAAGGGGTCAACTGACCATTTTGGTCAAGTTGACTTATTTGTAGATCATACTTTGCTGAACATTATTGCTGTTTACAGTTTATCTCTATCTATAATAATATTCAAGATAATAACCAAAAACGGCAAAATTTCCTGAAAATTACCAATTCAGGGGCAGCAACCCAACAATGGGTTGTCTGATTCATCTGAAAATTTCAGGGCAGATAGATCTTGACCTGATAAACAATTTTACCCCATGTCAGATTTGCTCTTAATGCTTTGGTTTCAGAGATTTAAGCCAAAATCTACATTTTACCCCTATGTTCTATTTTTAGCCATGGCGGCCATCTTGGTTGGTTGACGGGGTCATCGGACACATTTTTTAAACTAGATACCCCAATGATGATTGTGGCCAAGTTTGGTCAAATTTGGCCCAGTAGTTTCAGAGGAGAAGATTTTTGTAAAAGTTTACGGACGACGGACGACGGACGACGGACGCAGGACGACGGACGCAGGACGACGGACGACGGACGCAAAGTGATGAGAAAAGCTCACTTGACCTTTCAGGTCAGGTGAGCTAAAAAAAGGACCCCCTCCAGATCCTCATAGAAGTTTTCGTTAAAACAATACAACCTAATTTAAGTTCAGCATCTAGTATATATCCTTGTAAATGCGTTAATCCTTTCTTTCATTTTAATAACAATTTTATTTAATATAAAATAATTATGTATTTATTTGTTTATTCAAGTTGCACTATAGCAAATAATTCTTCTTCGCCTTTTTCTTCCTATAATAGTAATAAATGTATTCGTTATTTAATATTTTCTGTCAATAAAGATTGAATTCGATGGCACGTGCCACTAATCAAAAATGATCCTTAAACTATCAAAAACTTGGCAATTACAATGGCTATTTCACAATTACATCATATGTACACCTGTCATGGTATCATAGCTCCGTTCATGTATGTGTAATTTAAGGTTCTGATACATTTTATAATACTAGTAGCTTCTTTCTGAACACTATTGACGACATTGTTAAAACTGCACGAACATATCACAAAACCGCAAATTTAGTGGTTAAAAAATAAACGATAATGACAAAAAAATAATTAAAAACTAAAAACAAAACAAAATTCTGTTGGAAGTAGCATATATTTACATGTATAAATTGTCTAGTGCTTTTATTACAGCGGTATACTTGTTTTATACACAGACCATATTCTGATCATATTCTATGCTAAGATATTGACAAGTCAGAAGTATATATGTTAAAAGTCGTTTTAAATCAATTCATTTCACAGCTGAGGCAAATGTTCCTTCCCATTGTTGAATGGAGGTTAAATAAATGTGAACAATAAAAAAGATGTATATTTCTTAGGCATGGAGCTAGGCATTTCTGAAGTATCTTTGATAGCATTTTTTTCCTATCAAAAATGTATGCTGGTATATATGTAACTCTAGGTGTTTACCTAAAATGTTATGTATATGTAAAAGTTTAAGATTTTTTTTTTAATATTTGCCAAAAAAAAAACATTATCCGGAAAACCATATAATGGCGTTTTGTCCTTTAATTCTGTTTTTGTGATTTTCTAACCTACCTTCTAATTGATACGTTAATCCAAACAGTGCAAGTGTGTAATGCAAACATGCAAAATTCGGCTTTGGTGTATCATGTTAAAACAATACCCATAAATTATGATAATTTTCAATAATTTTAGATAAGATTATGCAAGGAAATGTGTTATTGTTTTCTATTTATCTAGCAAAATTGTATCTTTTTTTACACAAAGATGTCGATAAATAAATTTGATACCCTGCATTTATCATGCATTTCAATAGCATATTGTCAAATTGTTAAAAGATCTCCTCCTTAACAGGGAATCCGTTAGTATTGAAATTCCCTGTCCTAAATTATTGAATTTGTCATTCTGCATTGACAATATTCAATTTATCTTGGTGTAAGTAATACGCACTCATTCGGGCTAACGCCCTTAATGTGTATCTAATACATATTATTTTCTCCCTCGTTTCACCCCTCCGATAATAAAGTTTTTTCTTAACTAGATATCGTAGAAAAACCAAACACAGTATAGGGTTGTGCGTTCGCTACAAGATCGCCTTGAATTTAACATGTTCAACATAAATATATACAATCAGCCATGCAAAAAGGCATAACATTTGTGTCAACTAATTCTGCCTCTTTAAAGGTCAAATGAAAGTTAGTCATTTCACTCTACTATGGAATGAAATGAACGAGAGAACTTTTGACGTGGTATAGTTATAATATAACTGTTCTTTATACTTAATATACTGAGTTTGTACTGCAAGCCGAAAAATCCACTTTGCTCTCTGGATGTCTCTTGGCTTTTGTTTTTGTTTTTGGTTTGTTTGCTATATTATTGACGTAAATAAAACCAACAACTCCTTTTATTCAGATATATAATTTGAGTTCTGTAAATTTCTAGACGTACGTAAGAATGAAAGACGAAAATGCAGGTTTCATAAATGGTCATCAAAGAGCGACACAATTAAAAACAAATAAAAATATAGTTATTACAGCTACAGTCATTTTTTTTTTCTCTATTAAAACATATTTGATACTTTTTGCGCTATTGTCATATATCAAAAAAAATCTAACATTTCCATAAGCTTTCTGTGATTTCCCCGATTCACCATTATGATGTCATGCCACTTGCTATATGGATTCAGAAAACAAATTTACGAAATCTATGACCACACAATTGTAACTGTTCCTATCTTTATTAACAAAATTTAGTGTAAATATTTACAACTATAAAAATTAGTAACAGTGGTGGTCTATTCTGCCCGGAAAACAATGCGGACTAA